TGGTATCGCAAATGGTGCGAAGCTCTGCTTCGCCTCATTGAGTTATTTTTGGCTTAAAAATGAAATTTCTTTGAAGCAAAAAATCTGTATCTACTGTAACATAACACGTGACGTGACGAACAATGGCTTACTGGCAGTACCATTTTTGTTTGAAGTTTTCATTACTTCTCTATCATATAAACCTTTAGTGTTCCGCAGAAAATAGAGGTTTGTTTGCAGATTCGACCTTAATTTTATAAGTAAATTCTTAACGTTTTGTTCATGTTAAAAATGAAAAACCTAATGAAAACCTAATGAAAGGTAATTTGAAAGCAGTATGAGTTTTTGCAAAGGTTGAACTTGGAGCTTGAGAAGACAGCACGTGAGTCGGAGCGGACTGGTAGTGCTGCTTCAGTTTCATTGGCTGACGAAATGAACTCGAGTGTGAGCATATCAAACGAGAAAAAGTTCACGAGACGAGAAGTGTCCACTCTTTTGATGGAGAGAAACATGTACAAAGAGAGGTAGTGTATCCTTTAATAGCAATTTCAAGGTCATTCCAGTAATGATTATGTGTAGCCCTGATCAATGAGCTCAGATGATGGTTCAAAGGGGTCTAGGACAACAAGCCGACGGGACTTCAAGCCGAAGGGACTTCAGGCCGAAGGGACTTCAGGCCGAAATTTAAACTTTACATGCACCTCAAATTACTTTTTTTAAATCTGTAAAACGTTGCTTTGAAAAATTTTAGGCAAGTTAAGACCAGAATAAGCGTTATTCATGTCATAAATCACTTAGGATTGGCATCCGTTAAAAATATCAGCCGGTTTTGAAATGCATAAATTATAAACAAGAAAATTACCTTCAACTGTGTTGTATTTTTCAACTTTCCTAAACACCATTTGGAGGCTTAAATTTCATGAAAACGCCAATAACTACTGAAGAAAGATCACGAAATTGAGTAATTATTCAAAAACGTTTCCAAATAAATCATATTTCATGACTTGATGAGAAAACTTTCGGCTTGAAGTCCCTTATTTTACGATTCGGCTTGAAGTCCCGTCGGCTTGATGTCCGGCACCCGTTTCAAAGATGCTATATTGGTGCTTTTACGCGAGAATGAACGGTCCGTGTGTTTAGCGACTTGCATGCGTGCCGCTTAGCATGCGGAATTTAGATTATTACTCACTTTGATGCGGCACGCATCGGTTTGAGTTTTAGTTGCATTTGTGACGAAACAATCTCAAATCTAATTGGGCTAATCGCCACATGCTAAGCGACACTCATGCTAGTAGGGCGGTCCTCAATTGTTGCTACATAATTGTACGGCACTGTTTATTACTTGCTAGGTATCTGGAACTGCAGGAGACAGTGAGATGGATGGGCATGATGCAAGCAGAGAGATCCAAACACCCAGACCTGAACGGAACAACCGCCGGGGGAGCATTCAACTCTGCAGCAGACCAGAGGAAGGTGCCGAACTCCGGAGGCATCTGGAAGCTGTTAGTTCAAGATGAAACTTATAGTCAAATGAATGAATTGAGATCAGTAAAAGTTTTAACCCAAACTTCATGAATAAGCACCATTTGCAAAAAAAACTGTTTGGAATTATCAATGCAGTGTAATTTTGAAAACCTTTTCTACAGTTTGCTTCTAAAAGTGACAGTAATCCTCAGCTCGAATATTTAAACTTGACCCGTAAGTGATGCCTTGTGTTGTTGTTGACTGGGATTGAACTTCTTCACTTATTATAGTACACATTCATCACAGTCTTCAGTCAAAATTTGTCACTTTGGCTCAAGTTAAGAAATCTCGTTTAAGTGTGTGAAATGATTTCAATTTGAGTTTGTTTTCAGCTTTTCGGGAATATTCGGCAGCTCCTCTTCGGGCCAGAACACGCCAGCCCCTACAAAGAAGCTATCCACTGCAGGAGTGTCTGCTCTCAAGTTTGACGACAGCGCTCCTACAGTCTTCACAGCTGTGAGAGCTACGAGGTCAAAGAGCACGGCCAACAAGTAATTAATCTCATTACTCTCTGTACAAAATTTATCTTTCTAAAGGAAAGGCGCAGTACAATGGCGTAGGGTGGATTTGTTTACAGTCAAGCTTGGCACGTAAAAAAACGCACAGGTGTCAAGTTCTTGAAGAGTTTTGCTTTGCAATGATAATTTTTGAAACACGCTGTGCTACTTGCGCAGCAGCCGGCTACTCCTGGTAATGTTAACTCAAGGGAGCTGGCGAGAATTGTGTTATTTCACGAGTTCACCTTTTTTGCCGTCCAACTAGCATAAATAGTGCTCATTTTGGTGGCACTTTTGCTGTATAACGTTGACTGTTTAATAGCATGTGTTTTTCCGCCTTATTGGTGACTGGTCTTTTGAATAATTCAAGAGAATTTAACGCAGATGCGAGGAAGTGACTCCCCATATAAAATTGCGGGTCTGATTCCGGCACATGGCTATGGTTTTTTTACCCGTGATCTTTTTTCGTAAAGTTATTAGGGTTTAAAGATTGCCATTTTGACCAATTTGGGACAATTAACAATTTTCAAATTTTAGAAATATTCTGGAAATCCAATTAATAGTTTTTGAAGGTTATTACAATACAATGCTTGTGTTATGAAATATTTGGAGTCCCTGAGATCATAACTACAGCAATATTTTTCAATACTGTATTTTGAAATTAATGAATTTTTATTTGTCTTTTCCGTATAGTTTCAAAGGCGGAAATGGCAAGTTATAAACTAGGCTTGTTTGTATCATCCAAATATTGAAATTGATTGGAGTTATTGTTCCGACTTTCGATACGAAAGTAACGGAATATTTGTGCTCGGGGTAAGTTTTTTTTCTTCAGACAAATGTCGACTTTTTAACTAGCCATTTTTGACGGAATTTTTTTTTATCATTCGAAAGCCATTGTTGTCTTGAACTTAAATTTGAAAAGATATTTCACCTGTGATCATTTTTCGTAAAGTTATGAGCGTTTAAAGATTGCCATTTTGACCAATTTGGGACAATTAACGCGCGATATAATTCGCGCTATTAACGCGTAAGCGGAGATTTAATCCGTCTTATAAATTGTTCCAAATCGGTTGAACGAAGCTTATATTGGCCATAATTGATTTGTTACAAGGAACGAAATCTCTCTTTTTGTACTTTATATGGCGTGTGGGGGATGATTTTCATAAAAAATTTCAAATTTTGGAAAAAAAAAATTTCATTTTATTTTATTTCATTTAATTTTTTATGTTATTACTGCTGCTCCATAAACCTTAAAAGGCAGTCGGAACATTCAGGGCTTCGCCCTGATTCGAGCAGTCTTGTTATTATATATGACAATGAACAAAGCGAAGACACTTCATTAGGTCATGTAGCTTTTGAAGTGTCAGTAAATGGAGTAAAAGAACTTGCGAAGGTGTGGTTTTTAGTTTTTTGCAAAGGTTTGATTTTTTTTGCTTGAAATTAGATCTCTTTTCTGTCAATTCAGTTTTATTTGCTAAAAAATTGTGAAATACACTCTTCAATTACGAAAGTGCAAAGGCTGCCAAAAATGTGAATGAATTTAGGTTTGTAACTAGTGTTCAATTGTTTTTCACTCTTTGACTTTTGATTTTTTTTCAAGTTCAGTTCTTTTCGTTACTTAGAAGGAAGCCAAACTCCACTTTCGAACAGCAAACTCCAACATCGAACAGCAGGTCATCAAAAACGTGATTGACTTCTAGTTTCGAAAGTGGAATTTAATGTTGATTTTCCAGCGAAATAAAATTTTATTTTTTGATCCAGTTTTTTCAAATTGGATTAATTTTATCAAAAAATGCCAATCATAAATGATCTAGAACTTCAGTAGAGCTTTAAATTCATCGAAATTTGGAAGGAATTTCCGAGCGCTCCTCGAATACTATAAAGATCTTATTTTTGACAATTTTTTTGCGCCACAGGCAATTTGTTTTTTAAAAAACGGGAAAACGTCCTTTTTAGGCACTTTTGAACATTTTTTGACAAAAAATCCGTTATTTTCGGTGCGCGCCCCCCTTCAAAATTAGAATATATAGGCGCCAAAAGCGCCTTCATAAAAATTTTGGTTGTTCGGTGATATTGGATATCATAAAATAATACCAAAAGGGACCCTTTGGTTGGTGAGGGGGAAGGGTCCCTGAGGGTAGGCGTCCTCCCGTCATCCTAAATCCACCACTGCTTTAAATAATCTTCAAATTTAAAAAGTTTTAACGTGATCGGTTTTTTCAGATTTAATTGTAAAAGGGGCAATTTCAGTAACAAGTTGTAAAAGAGTCAATGAACTTTGAACATTTCGAACACTCAAATTTCGAACACTTTGATTGAACTTTCGAATGTTAAAAAAACATCACTTTAGTGTTCGAAATGTTCAAAAAATCTGTCTGATTTCATTGATTTTTTTACAACTTGCTACTGAAATTGCCCTTTTTACAACTTTATCTGAAAAAAAGGTCTTTTCTCAGCAAAAAGTTTGTAATAAAACTTTTTATTGCACCCGAAATACGACTGAAAGGGTTTCGATATGATAAATAAATCAAGCTAGTACGACGCGCCTTTGTGGCTCCTAATTTCACATGCAAAAACAAACCCGGATCAACAGCAACCTGAAAAAATACAGTCGGAAATTTCAGGGCTTTCGCGATGATAAAAGCAGCGTTGTTTTTATCAAGTCCTGTATTTTCCTTGTACGCGTTTTACGGGTTTCTGGTCGTTTTGCTTTAGCAAAGAGAAACTTGCCTTAAAATTCAAAATTAAGGTTAACTATGAAGTTCATAGTTCTGCTTTTTTTGATGAATGTGTTGGAAAAAAGCCCCCCATTTTGAAACGTAAAATACGAAGATTTGTTTTGATAACTCGTATGATTTTTGTCACGCTGAATGATTAGCTATTCAGAAAATATTTTGCATTATTTTGTAATGCAAACGGGAAAGGTTTTAGGAGCCTTGTTTTTTGAGATTCGCCACAGATTTTGTCGGCTAAGCTGTACCTCTTTATATGTGTTTTTAGATCTGAAATTGACAAATCTCGCGGTGACAAAGTGCGCCGGAAAATTTCAGCAAACAGCATTGCCGGCGGAGATCAAAGTTCAACCTCTCAGATGGGTTCAACCGCGAAAGCCAACTTGGTGGATGGCCGAGAAGAAATCTACGGCTGGAGTGTGAATGCTAGTTTGCTCAACAATGCTAACCTCCCAAACCGAAGCAACACATTAGCCATAGACCGGACTTCTCGTCGCCCCACGACAACGCGCAGAGCCACTACTATGATTCCCGAACACTCGGCTGTTGATTCGTCTTTCGATAAAGATGACTTGGCCAACCAGAAAGAGCTTTCGAAAACGCTGCCTATTCCCGCTTATTCCAGACCACTCATGGAAAAGGATCCGTCCTTTAAAGTAAGCCAGTCCTTTTTAACGTGTCAGGGAACTGCATTTTTTTACAATTTGCATTTTTCTGCATTTTTTTGCATTTTTCAGGAAAAGTTTTACAATAAATTAATGCTCATTTTTAAGTTTTGATGCTTTGACTTTGATTTTTTTAGACCAATTCAAAAACATTTAGCAAACAAAAGACCAATTATCCTGTCCAATTGACGCGAAAACTGATATTTGACTAAAAGCTTCAAAAGTGTCAATGAATGAAGTGAAGACACTTATTTAGGTCGTGTGACTTTTTTGTGACAAGAAAAGTTAAACTTTGTTCTAACACAAACTTGATTCTTCGAAGTTCGATTAAGAGTAATAAACGTAGTGAAGACTCTGATACAGGTCTTGATGTTTTTTTTTCGAAATTTGATATTTTTCAACAAAGTATTTTTTTTCTGATAACTTGCGTTCATTACTCTTTTCCAACTGTCAGTTGGCTATGTTTTTTGTTTGGGCTAAAACCCGGGTGGAAAAAAATTACTATATTTGAAACTTTATGAGAAAAGATGCTAGATTTGTAGAAGGCTGTTGATTTTGAGCGTTTATGTTAAAACACTGGCCTGAAAAACGGTCTTCAACTGCAAAAAAAATTGCTGGTCAAGCCGAGTTCTTTTTTAGTTCAATTCATTTCATTTAGTGGAAGGAGGATAATTTACGCCCGCTATTTACACTTGCGAAGCGAGTGGCTTTCTGCGATACTTCTTTTTTTTCAACCAAGTCGCAAATATGGGTGCCATATTTGGGACACCTTTACAGCTTTTTCATAGCATGTGCTTTGACATTCTAATAGTAATAAGTTAACACAGTTGATGCATTTTTAATTCATCAAAGGAACCGAATAAAGTGATCGTTTCAAACAACATAACAATAATGAAAACTCGATTTCAGACATTTTCTAACTCAATATCTCGCATTTTTTTGAAATGCATAATTTTTATATGATGTGGATTTATGCTTTGCGATTTGTTACATGCAAAGTTAGTGTGGATGCCTTCAATTTGTTGTAATCCATGATAGTGCGTGAAATTCAAAATCTCTTGATTGCAGTAGATCGCAGTTTCGAATTCTACTCGTAGCCTAGGTTTTGCTAATTCGAGGCTCATTTCTACTTTTTCTTATATCACTTGATAGAGCTGCTTTTTGGTCGTGTTCTCGCAAGTGTTTACGAAGCGCAGCCTCGCCTCACCTCTGTAAAAAAGTGCGAGTGAGGTGAAAGAAGTGATTGACCCTAATTTTCAAAAAGGATTTTTTTAAAGGTTTCCTAGCGGGAAAAAATGATTTTATGGTATCAATTGAATTGATAAAACAGTTTATGTGATCAACTGATTATATAACAAGTGTATTTTAGATAATTTTCAGTAAGTCGAATTATGCAAACGTTTCACTGGCATTTATAATCCACTTTGGATGACTTGTACTAATGATATCAAAAAGTGTCTTTGTGCCATAAAGACTTGTTTAAGTATCTGACGTGTCTTTGTGTTTATGTACAAAACTGAATTGTTCTTCGTTTCATATAAGAAAAGGAAATGAAATAGTGTATAATTTTTCTCAGTCAATAATAATGAAGATATGTTTAGAATCTGTCGCTGCAATGTGCCTGCAGCGTAGTGTTAATCGGGGGTCAATACTCCATGTCTTCATCTTCTGCCTCATTCACAACATCCCCCACCACTCCAACCCCACCCGACTACACACCCCCCTCCCCCTCCTCGGCAATCCCCTTCTGGGGTCGCGTGGGCAACTGTTCCATAGTGTGGCTGTGCAGCAGTAGTGCCACCTGTTCCAGGGTCAGTCTGTTCGACTTGACCTCTCCCGCCGAGTGTATCTCTTCTCTCACCTTCGCTCACTCTCAGATCTTGACTATACACGCCGTACCTGGTAAGTTTTTTCGTTTTATTTTCATCTACAAACATGTAATTTGGATCGACTGCTTGGCTAATCATAATGCTGCTACTAAAATACGTCACGAGTGATGGTCTGTTTAAGAGTCGATCAACGATGTTCACACTCTTATATAGGTCGCAATCTTTTTTTTTGTTTTTCAGGAAAAGTCTGAAAGTTTGTTCAGGCTCAAATGTACATTTTCGCGGTTTGATGTTTGATTTCTTTTAATGTTCAGTTCATTTCTTTTTTTAAAAAGTAGGCAAGCTCTACTATCGAACCGCGAAAGTGTAAAGGTCACGAAAAACGCGACCTACTTCTAGCTTCCAAAGTGGAATTTAATATTCAGATTTCCCCTTATAGATATATTCAGCGAAATAAAAAACCTTACCTATTGATCCAGTTATCTCAAATTGGGATAATTTTCTTGTATGCAAATTGCAAGTTACATTATAGTTGCTTTTAATGTTTTGCTTTTATTGCTGTTTGTAATGTTACTAACCTTGACTTCGTATATATTTTTTATATCGCTTAAAAACTTTTTTCTGCCCAAATGATTTCGGTTTATATTTTATCAGCTTAGTGTCCTAATTTTTAGTTGTTTAAATTGAAACGTATATTTTATGAGTCCCTCTAGATTGCACAAAATGCTAAAAAGTTATACATGAAATTATAGATATTCATGACAGCAATTTTTTCGGTTTTCAATTTTTTTTCTTCCGCTTGATAGGTTTAGGCTTCTGTTAAATCGGCTAAATGGCCTCCTATTGCGTTTTTCGAGGAGCGGAAAAAAGTTTGTAGAAGCGTGTGTGTAGGTGCGTGTCTGATATCAGGGTAAGGAGAATTTTATACATCTTTATTTTTTTATTTTCCTTTTTCGGGTTAATAGGTTTCGGTCTGTATTATATCGGCTTATTGGCCTCATTTTGTTTCATCTGACGAGCAAATAAATTTAATGTTTGGGTTTTGCGGTCGAGGGAGGCTTGTTAACTTAAATTTTTTTAAAGTCTTAAGTCTTCTTGATTTTTTCTTTTTTCTTGGCGTTTTTTTTTTTCAAAATTAGCCCTATTCATTTTGATAGATCTAGTTTTGCAAACGATATCTAGTTACAGAGTTATTTATAAAAATTTACAAATCTGAATCGCATGGGAGAACACCATTAAGCCAGCACAGCCCGTTTTCAGGAGTCTCATTAAACGGAGAACATAAAAAATAGTTAAATTCTTAGATCCAGTGGATCGTTCTACTGGTAAAAATTTATTAAACGTACACCTCATTATACCCGTTTTTTCCATCCTTTTCTTTACCCTTGCGATAAGCAATGGTATTGTAATCGGGTACGAGACTTTTTTCCATAATTAACTATTTTCCTAGGATCTCCACTTCTAGAGGATCTCTACTTCTTTAAGATCTCCAGTTCTAGAGGATCTGCTTTTTTAGAGGAGCTCCACTTGTAGTCAAGTTGCGTTTTTCACAGCACTCTCAAGTAGTTCTGGTTCTAAAGCTGAAAAATTTTTCAGATTTAAATACATTTTTTGCAGGCTTTATAGATTTTATCCCAATTTTTGCCGGCTTATTTGAAGAATTTTTTTATTTTAACTATTTCAGTACCTTTTTAGTTTTTTCAGTACCTTTTTGATTCAATTCAAGCAATTTTATATGAGGTTATTTCATTTCAGTGTTTTATAGACTTTCTAGAAATTCTTTTCTGGCAATTGTTATTAAATTTTGGATTCATTTTTTAAAATTTTTTTTTTTCCAGTTTCAGTCTTTTATTTCATTTTGGTTTTAATTTATAGCAAACTTTTGACAGTGCTTTTTGATAACATCTTATATTCCTAATGGTCATGTGGTTTGTTTGTTTCCAAGATTTTAAGCAAAGTTTCTCTTGTGGTATGAGTTCTTGGATCATGAGTTTTTTGACCAAAACCTTCTTTTTGTCTCATTTTCATCTGTTAGTTATGAGAAAGAAATGAATGAAGTTTGTGGACAATGAAGTTTTTTATTCTTGGTAATTGTACTATACAATTTACAAAAAGGAAGTGCCCAGCCGACCATTTTTTCAACAGATTTAATTTAAATATTTCATGTTTCGTATGCGATAGATTATTTTCTGTTTAATTTTGTATCAAAAGTAGTGCGAATTTCTGCTTCGCCTCTGGGTAAAATTTTTTTGGTTTCTCGGGTAGTCTCTTTTTTTACCCATAACCTAAAATCCGATAGAAACAAGTTCTACATATTCATCTACGCTTGCGATTAGCAGGTGTTATCAAATCGGCAAATGGTTTCGGCTCATAATTTATCGACTCAGTCGAGTCGACTCATAGAACCCTTTTATTAAACTTTTTTTACGTTTGATGCAAAAAGCTCCTATGCGTGTGTGCTAAGAGGTTCAAAGAAGTTTTGAGTTTCAAAATCTTGATTATCCTAAGGTTTTTTGTGGCAATAGTTTTTTTCGGCCCAAGTGTCTGCTCAAGTATTGTCGACCTTACCTAGGGCTGTGTAAGTTTAGATGCCAATTCAACTCTGGTAATTGTCTTAATTGGTATGTTTTCCTCACAATTAACTTCTGCAAATCGAGACAACTGATGTTTTTTTTCCAGTTTATGTAGATTTAGAGGCTTTCATCTCTTTTTTTTTGTCGGCGGCTGGCTTTCCATGCTGTGTTCTTGTTGTATCGCAAGTGGTGTAAAGCTCCGCTTGCTTCTCTCACTGAAAAAAATATCACTCCTAAAATATCCTTGAAATTGGAAGAGTTTTAACTTATGTGGTATACATTTTCTCCGAAATTCAAAAATGATAAATGTGAAAGTCAACCTTTTTCGGTTTTCATGCTTTGATTGAAAATTTGAAAGATTGTTTTTGCGTATTAGGGTTCTCAGAAGGAAGTCGAGACCTGGAAGGAAGACCTGCCGAAAGTCCGGGCGAAACTTTGGAAGCGAACGAAGGCAACAACAGTTACGACCAGGCATCGGCTGTAATCGATTTCGGTAAGCATTTTAACACTTCGCACCACTTCTTGTACTCGAGTTATTGCTGTTGTACCATCTTTGAATATATATTTTCATTATGTATATTACAAACCATGCATAAATGAATGGGAACGAGTTTAATTGGATGTCATAATCTGTATCTTTCCAGGGAAAGTTTCCAACTGCATTTCTTCTGATCAAGGTAATGGAGCATCATCTTAGAAATGACAACTGATACTTTCTTTAATCCTACTGATACTTTTCCCTTGTTGGCATAACTATTCTTCCCATTTCATTTCACCTTCGTGTTACCAAAACAGCTTCTGCTTGATTAAAAAAGACCGCATAGTATCCTCATTATTCAATCATACATGTGATAGCTACATTTGTGAAGGTTGCATGATTGCTAGTAACAAAATTGGCTCCTATTCCTTTTTCCCCTATCTGCGTGTTCACCTTGTCCGATTGTTCAACTTAGTGTTCACCTTGTCCGATTGTTACAAAAATTGGCATGCAGTCTAATTAAGCATGACAAACATATTTGGTCTTTATACATTACCTTGTAATATCACCCCTCGCTACACCATAAAATTGATGCCTATTTGGGGGAGGGGGGGGGGGGGGTGGGGGAGAGTCCAAAATTGAACTGTCTCAATTTTGGAGCGCAAGAAAACCTGTTTCACGGCATCTGCCCCCCCCCCCCCTCTTCCACTCTTCGCCCCCAACCAGATCGGGCAAGGATTTTAATTGCATCCGGTTCATGTGATGTATTTTGACCTTCAGGTGCTTTCGCGCACTCGATTTATTTGGACACGACATCAAATCGGCTCTTAGTTGTTTTCCTTACAGAATCAATGAATCATTCCTAGTTTCAAAAATGGATGTTTATTAGATTTCCCAGCTGATTGAATCTTTACCTCTTTTTTTTCAAATTGAGTTAACTATCGAAAAAGTGTCAATCATAAGTTTGTTCTTGAAGTTCAAAGAGCTTTAAGGGCATACTTATGTTTTTTCTTTGAAATTCAAACATTTAAGTTTTAAGTCAAAAAATGAATAGGTAACGAAAATTGTGATCGACTCCTAGTTTCAAAAATGGATGTTTATTAGATTTCCCAGCTGATTGAATCTTTACCTCTTTTTTTTCAAATTGAGTTAACTATCGAAAAAGTGTCAATCATAAGTTTGTTCCTGAAGTTCAAAGAGCTTTAAGGGCATACTTATGTTTTTTCTTTGAAATTCAAACATTTAAGTTTAAAGTCAAAAAATGAATAGGTAACGAAAATTGTGATCGACTCCTAGTTTCAAAAATGGATGTTTATTAGATTTCCCAGCTGATTGAATCTTTACCTCTTTTTTTTCAAATTGATTTAACTATCGAAAAAGTGTCAATTATAAGTTTGTTCTTGAAGTTCATGTTTTTTCTTTGAAATTCAAACATTTAAGTTTAAAATCAGAATTTTATCTTAGAGCCGATGAACATAGCAAAGACTCTAGTATTGGTCGTGATTATTACTTTTCAGGAAAAAGTTGAATTTGTTCACGGTCAAATTTGATTTTTTCGCGATTTGGTTTGATTTCTTTTCAAGTTCTTTTCTTTTCCTTTGTTTAAGAGTATTTTGGTAGCGGAATAATTTACCGATTGACCAGTTTTCTCAAATTGAGCTAAGTTTATCAAAAAGTGTCAATCATAAGCTGTTCTTCAAATTCAAAGAGGATTCAGGCCATATCTTTTTGTTCCGGTCATTGAAAATGGAGAGGAAGGTTGTATTCAAGTAGGTTTTAGTTTTTTTTTTGTTTGTTTTCAACGCAAAATTAGGTACCACAAATAATCTTATATGAGCAGTGTATGGGTTTTTGCCCAAACGTTTTTGATTTGATTGCATTGATGTTAACAACTTGCTTGAAAATGTCTGAATCATCTGCTCAGCTGATTTCAATAATGAATCAAGTTCGAGACACCAATTTAGCCTGATTAGAGTGGAGGTAACGTCTAAGCTTAGGACGACAAATGTAATATGGTTTGGTTCTGGCCAGCAGTTGATTATTTTCTTAAAAATTTTTTCTGAGATAATGTATAATTTTGCATAATGGAATTTTCTCTGCTTGAATGGTTTAGGCTTGTTTTGTTGGCACAGTCATCTTATTTAGCCTTTTTCCAAGGGTAAGCATTTTAAAAATGCGTTTCAGGTGAAGAAGGGGACTTGAAAACTTGAATTACTATTTTGTCGCTTAAAATTTTATGACAATAATTTTATAATACAATGGGGGTCTTTGCAGCTGTTTTTGATTAGTTGTCGATCTGTGATATTTCGTGAATGCTTATCTAACATTTACGATTTTGTTTAATCAGATAAACAACTACAAACATTGAGACAAACATATTAAATTTTTGCCTATATAGTTTTTTTCGAATTGTTTTTTTTTGTTTTCGTGATATTTTTTTCTGCTTGCATTGTATTGTTATTGTGGCCGCTGTTTGTGTCATTTGATGAGCTCAAAGATATTTTAAAGCGTATTTTAAGTGACTGTTGTAAGTTTGGGTGAGATTTTTTCGGATCAGTGGGTGTCTGCTTAAATATTCTCGGCTATGGTATCGCTGCTTAAAACTGGTACTGAAGCTAAAATACCGTTCGTTTGGTTTACTTCGGATGTTTTTCAGAAATAACTTTCTTCAAGACAATTTACAACAACCTCGAAAAATTTGTTAGATATATTTTCATTTTTTTTCGACTTAGTGGTTCCTGTCGGCTGGTTTTCTTTGCTCAGTCTGTTTTTTATTGCAATTGTTGCGAAGCCACGCTTGTCGCTTTATCGAAAGTATAATTTTCTCTGTTTTTTTAAATTAAAGAAGTAACCTTATTCTTTGAATTTGTCGCTTTTTGACTGTTGGTTATGCATTAGAGTCAATGAAATCTTGTTTTTTTTTGGTTTTCAATTAAGTCAAATTTTTTGGGGGTTTTTCTAATGATAGTCATTTTTTGTATGGCAAAGGATGCGAAGCTCAGCGTCGCGTCTGTGTCATGATAGGATATAAGGGTTTGAAAGAAGCGTTTCAAAGAAATAAAATAAAATAATTCTTACTGTATAATTATTAAGAGTAATGAACGGTGTGAAGACTTTTATATAGGTATTGGTGATTTTTTTCAGGAAAATGTCTCGAAATGCTCTAATAACTAAGATGTGCATTCATACAAATTAATGCATTCATGAATGCACTTAGGTATATATGCACGTTTTGAGTCTAATTGAAATTCATCTGATTTACGTAAATAGCACTATCCAAGTACGAACTTGGAAATGGCGCAAAAAAACGTGAACGATTTCTAGTTTCGAAAGTGAAATTTAGTTTCTAGATTTCCAGCGAAATGAAAATTTTACTTATTGATCCAGTTTTCTCAAGATGGGTTAATGTACGTGCTCTTTTCCAACGGTCAGTTGGCTATGTGTTTTGTTTTCCCCAATACATGATTATCCAACCATGATTGGAAAGTTTATCGATTTAGCAATTTAGGGATGAAAATTTAGCTTGAAAGCTTGAGTGGGCTAGAAATGATCTCGCCTGACCACTATTGGTGCTTACTGATCTGTGACGTTGCTAAAAACGAAACACAATTGGAAGTGTCAGCTTCACGGTGAAATGATAAACGATAGTGAGGACTGATTACTTGGCTTTAAAGTTGAATCTAAGCTCTGATTGGTATTCTATTTAGGTTCTTCTACTGGAAGCGACTACACTGCGACCACCACCACTAATCAAGAGGGTGTGATGGTGGAGCTGAACGAGGCGGAGGACCACCTCAACGACATTGCCGACGGTTTGTTAGATGAACTTTATTATCATCTCAACTGCGATTCGTGTCGACCAATAATATCTTAAACTTAAATAATATTAATCTGATAGTTTGCGAAGGTGATAAACAATCGAGCGGTTGGTGGCTCGAGATCTACCATGATCTGTACTCGAAAAAATATCAGTCTATGTAGGTACTATTAAGGTGATTTCAGTGCTCAATCAAACAGCTCTAATGTAAGAGGTAAATAGTTTGAAGTATACTCGGGAAGCTGCGTAAGGGTAAATTTTGATGGATCTATTTGCTGGTATTTTGGCTAGTTGCAAAAGTAAAGATAATTGATTTTTGTTACATCGTTTTACTTTCATATTTTCCCACTTCAAATACTTTTGCCAAATTGAAGGCTAAATAATCTCTTAAACAGCGAATGAGTCAGATCAATCATAAAAAAGCTTTAACGTGATACTACTTTTCTTGGAATTTCGAAAAATTTACAGTTTTCCGTCTGTCTGCTGACCAGGTTTAAGTTTTGATGTTCTAGAAGTGCTCAACTCAAGTGGATCTGTGAGTGGTAGTGTCTCCTCCCCCAATACAAGTGTGAACAAAGCAAACAGACTACCCAAATGTTACTGGCCATCGAACGTGTACTCGGAAAGCGACCTCGTCTCTTCCAGCAAAAACCCGACAGTCTGGATTGGCTGCGAGAACGGAAACCTGTTCGTCCACTCGGCGGTGTCCGACTGGAACAAATGCATTCATTCGGTCAGACTGCCGTCGTCTGTAAACACGATTGACTTCGTTGAAAACCGAGTGTTTGTCGGCCTCTCGGGAGGTAGTGTAGCCGTGTTCTACCGAGATGCAGCTTCGAAAGAGTGGGATTTGCAGAGCTACCAGTTGCTGGATCTGGGAAGACCAGCACATACCGTGAGGTGTTCTGTGGTCGCGCCAGCTGTGCAGGACTATAGCCAGATGAGCTTGTGGCTGGGCTACAGGAACAAAGTGCACGTTGTGGACCCCATCAATCTCAAAATCAAAGTTGGCTTTTTTCTAAAAAGAACTAAACAAGGCACGGGTTAAAATATTTTTTCAAAACTTTTACTCCATGTTTTTTTTTATTCAAGTAAAACTTATCGCTATCTTCCCGCCCATATTCGGCCATTATTCAAAAGTTAAACACGCTAAACAATAAACATCATTGGAAAATACTTTATTGCGGTAAATTTGAGTTGAATTTAATCGCCAAGTAGATCCTAATTGTTTAACTCAAAGCTACAATAACAAAAAATTGCTTCTTAATTCAGAAATATTTTGTTTCGTTTGTGTCTTCTGTGGCATCGCTTTGCAGGGGTGGGAGGGGGATTCGAATCGAATTAGGTACAAATTTTACATATGCTTAACCATTGACTGATTTCTTCCAACCTAGGGGTGGCAATTCGTTACTAGGTGTTTTCGGGGGGGGGGGGGGGGGGGGAGGGAGGAGGAGGGAAGGGAGGAGGGATAGTTAGAGATCCCTTGTGTGTTGTTTATGGGATATATGTGCTCCATGTGTATGTAGTGTGTCTGTGTCGTTAGGCAAGTATCACTGCACACGTGAGACGTGAGAGCCAGGTGCGCTACATGGCCGTGTGTGGTCTGGGAGTCTGGGTCTCTATCAGGATGGAGAGCACTCTCAAACTGTTCCACGCCATCACCCACCAACACCTACAGGACGTCAACCCCGAGGCATCCATCATCAGAATAATCGGTACATTACAAGCACCCGCACCCTGCCAAAACAAGTTGTTACATTTGCCCCATTAGTTAATATTTTTTGTCAATGCTACTTGAACAACCTAGTCTATAATCAATGAAACAGTATTAGAAAAAGTCAAAAATTCGAGATTCAGATGGAAAATTGATCTGCACGGGATTTGAGCTGGAATACTATTTGTATTTTTACTACGAAGGCAATTTATAGTATGAAAGAAAAAACTAGTCAGATTGTTTTTTCACTTAACGCTGCGTGTTTAGGGCAAGCTTGTCGCATCAACTTTTTGAGGATAACATCGTTGAGTTGCATCGGGAACTTCCTGTGGATCGGAACCAACGTCGGAGTCATCGTCTCTCTGCCGGTCGGAGAAGGTACGCAATCGCAGTTCAACTAACTGCCTTAATAATCCAAGTAAAGTTCGCACTTACGACCAATTTATCATGTCGATAGTCATTAGACATTTCTGCATTCTTATTTCACTTCGAGATTTTTTTAAGCTTTTTTTACAGAAATTGTTTATAGAAAGCAGAATAAAATGAGATGTATTTAATACGCTTCATTTACAGTTGTTTTTCTTGAACAGAAAGCCAAACTGGAATTTTATCATCTGGACGCAAAACGAGTCGCAAGGGAGCGCAAGCCAAGCCAGGCGGCATAGTGCGAGTGTTCAACCACTCGGAGGAGACTTCGCCAAATCAGACCACAACAGCTCTGACGTCATCAACCAGTTCAAATGAGAGGTCATTGACCTCTTCCTCTGGTAACAGTGGCTGGGATGTCCAACTGGTGTCGAACAGTCACAGTAACAACGAGGCAACGAATGTTCCGACCACTCCGCTGTCACAGAGGAGTAATACACTAATGTCTCCGCCTCAGAGGTCGGCGCCTGCGACCTCTGTCGTGTCAAATTTGAATGTGCCCTACTGCTCTCTCAATCAGATGAGGCTCTCCTTCCATGCCCATCGACATGATGTCAAGTTCTTCGTGGGTGCTAAACGTAAGCTTAGTTTAGCATACATACATTCATATTTTATAAAGAGACCATTCACAGTATTCCAACTTTAGAACAATTTGAAAAAACTCCCAAAGTTTATTCAGTTGATAAGTCCAATTAAATTTTTGGGCTAAATGTCGGGACCTGAACGCTCAACAGGAATGGCAAAGAAATGTAAACATGCAGTGATCCTGCTGAAAACAATATATTCATTTTTGTTTAGAAATGAGTGGAAGGGACCTTACGTCATCATTTTCTTCATCCGCGCATGATGTTTCTGCAAACGAAGGGGACTCAAATGCGACCGAAACTCTGCATGTTATGAGTGGGGGAAGGGGGTACATCGACCACCGAATCGGAGACAAAGTGGAGGAGACTGAGCAGAACGTCCCAGTTGTCGTTTCCGCCGCAACATCCACAATCGCTCCATCATCAGGGGGTGCCGCCACTCTGGTCAGCGGGGCCGGAAACTCTCCGCTGAACAGCTCGGGCTTGTCTAGAGGAGCGAACAGACAGCTGGCTAAAAGCCAGAGAAGCCATGTCATCCTTTGGAAGCAGGACTTATCAACTGAATAAACAAATCAAATCAAATTATTACTTAATAGGAATACTTCACCTCTGGTTGACCATGAAATTCAAGTTTGATTTTACTTTAGACGCTTCAGTATGCAAATATTTGAAAAATGCTTTGCCTTAAATATTTTCTCTCCTCTTCGAACTCATGTCAATGTTTCTGATTAGTATAATTGTAACTCTCTTTCCAGAAGTGCTCATACCTCAGTGTCGTAAAGATTTAACGTTTATATATTTGGTTCAAAATTCTTAACTCGCGGGTTCTCTACTTGAATGCTTTCTTATTTTCCTTCAATCATTTGAAAATGTTAATAGTTTTTGGAATGTAAAATAAAAATTAGAACGGTGTTTACAAATTATTCGGAATATTAGTGTAATTGAATTCACAGCCAATGGAATTTAGATCTAATAGTTTAATTCAGCCTTTTTACGCTGTTCGTTGAATGCTTTCATTGAAATTTCTTAGAAACATTGAAAGCAGCATTTTGTGCTGCAAATTGAAATAAGTTTGCGTTTTTTACCAAATGCAACATTGGTGGGTTTGTTACAAAAGTAATGTATTTGGAAACATCGTAAAGACACTTGAATAGTTCATCTAGATGTACCGTCTCAATTATCGGACAACATTACGAGGCCAAACTGTGCATTTTGTGCATTGTAAGCGGATTCCGCAACAAGGACGCTCCCTTTGTTGTTCTTTTGTTCATTCATTTTCTTTGATAGCTCCGACAAAACTTTACCATGTTTAAAGACTTGTCTATGGAATCCAGGAACATACAGACACAAAATTGTGCGCCTATCCAGTGCACAGTTTGGCCTCGTAATGAAAATTTACCGTCATCATATTGTACCGCCATCATATTGGACAGGTTTTATTGGGAATTTCGAAAAAAAGTTACATCGACCTGCTGCAAATGATCTAAACTACGCTCTCTGAAAGTTTTAATTTTTTATTTGAATCGGTTACCAGTTTTTTCCAGGTATAAAAATACCAGTTTCACCATTTGTCATGATGTTTCTGTGGGAGTGAACACTTTTGAATAAGGGGATTAGTAAAAATTGATCAAGCAATGTGAAACATTTTGAACGAGTAAATTTCAGTGAGATAACTTTCCTAAGCTCTGTTGTTCGAATAATTTCACACCATGGGAAAAACCTATTACAAATGGTGAAAATTGGCATTTTCAGACCTGGCAAAATTGGTTAAATGATTCGAATGAAAAATTGAAAATTTCAGAGAGTAGTTTAGATCATTTGCAGCAGGTCGAAGTAATTTTTTTTTCGAAAATCCCAGTAAATCTTCTTCAATACGGCCCTTGAAAAAAGACATTTTTGAGAGTAAAAACGTAAAGTTGCGTTTAATTTTGTCCACTATATTTCAAAGAATTTTGATTTAATGATCACTACTCTTTGGTACAATTGCATCATCAATAGTCAGTCGATGAACCTAGTTTAACTTTTTGCTTTTTTGCAGTTTGATTTCTATTTAAGTTCAGTTTATTTCTTTTGTTAAAAGGAAGGCCAACTCCACTATCGAACAGCTTTTACACTTGCGAAGCTAATGTTTTAGTACGAATCTTCTTTTTTTACAACCCAAGTCGCAAATATTGGTGCGGCGCCCCAATCATAGTAGAGCACCTTTACAGCTTTTTCGTAACATGTGCTTTGACATTAGAATAGTTTTAAGTTATCACAGTTGACGCCTTTTAATTCATCAAATGAACCAAAAAAAACTATTTGTTTCAAACAACATCACAATTAAAAAAATTCGATTTCAGAAATTATATAATTCAATATATCTCACAATTTTTTGAATTGAATAATTTATACATAATTTGGCTTAATGCTTTGCTATTTGTTACATGCAAAGTTAGTCTGGATGACTTTAGTTTAATATATTCCAAATTATTTATTGAAAAATTGAGTCTATTTTTATTTGGTGCTGAACCGCATTGGAAGTTTCTTAGCATATGTAGCTGCTTTATTCGTGACTAGTGTTTGTCGGTTGTTAAACCTGAGTGGCTAAGGGAATAGTGCGTGAGACTCAAAATCTTTTGATTGCAGTAGGTCGCAGATTTGAATCTTACACGTAGCCGACTTTTTAATAAATCGGAGCTTATTTCTACTTTTAATTATTTCACTTGATAGAGCTGCTTTATGGTCGTGTTCTGGCAAGTGTTTGCGAAGCAGAGCTTCGCCTCTGTGTTGAAAATTTCTCTGAGCTTTAAGGCCATCTGCTTTCTTTTGAATGTCGAAAATTCCAATTTTTCAAAAAGTTAATTATTTTTTGTTTACGTTCGTTCATAGACAATTTTCACACAAGCAAAGCTATTCCAGCTATTCAGTACAGCTGATGCTAAGGATATTAGCATAAAATATTATATTACAAATATACTTATATACACACTTAAGTTTCAAGGTATCATTGATCTGTAGCGTAGAAGAAAGGAAGGAGACGCGCAACAAAATAAGAGGATATAAACCGGGGCGGGATTCGACTATTTTATGAACTTTTTCGTATACTAGTTAAAATGCGTCCGCTCTATCAATTGAGGTAAGTTTTTGGTAATTTTTTTTTCAAATTGACTGGTACTGCTAATGCGTCATAAATGGCTTGCGTCACTAAGCAATTATGTAGATTCATTATTGGCGGTCGTCACTTAAGACATTTTTTAGACTAAATCGTTAGCTTCAAGGTAGACAAAAAATTGGTTTTTCCAGTGAGTTAAGGTTGTAACTCGTTTTCATAGGTAAGTTTTTAGTTGATTTGATTAGCTACGACCTCTAAAACGTACTCAATTTAAAGCAGCTGCTTCTAAAAAAAATGTAATGAAAAAAATTCTGAAACGCATAAGAGCAGCATTTCAAATTAAACCACTTAAAACAAAAAAAGGCTCAAAAAGTGCTTGATGAAATACTGATGACTAAAATACTGAAAAATTGATTATTCACGATATCAGTAACAATTATTATATATTTATAACGATCGGAAAACCTTATCAGACTTTCATCATTGTAAACATATTTTCATGTACATTAAATATGCACATGTTTAAAAGCATGTAATTTATCCACTCTAATTTTTGCTAGCTGGTATTTAATATTACACCGGAATATAGACATTTTTTCGGGTTACGAACATGTTTAACAGAATCAATTGTATCTTGGTTCGTAATAATTTCAACTTTATGCATTCGAGCATTTTAGCCTGGAGGGTACGAATTTGACTGAGACGGCAAAGGTATTGGGCTTGAATCTGACCAGTACCTTTTTTTTTAAATGAAAATACTCAGTTTTAAATAAAATTGTCGGCCAATTATTTGTCTGTTTATCTGTTGTCGGCTTGATTGTCACGCCGTGCAATTATTTTTCGCTGCGTGCATTTTTTAAGTTGCCTTTAGTGTTTGATTTTTTCCAACCAATTATAGTTCTTACGAATTTCAAGTTTACCTTAGTTTCGAATTTCCTTCTTTGTTGTTCGTTTCCCTCTTTGTTGTTTGTAAAAAAATTCCTCGACCCAATTTTTTTGCCTAATTTTTATTGAATTAATGAGCTAATTTTGAGTTGTTTAAATGAAAAAAAAATTACTTAATTTCCTCAAAAACTCAAGTTGGTTGTATGCTCAATCGGTTTGTTGAAACTTCTTTTTTTCCTTGCGCAAAAGTAGTTCCAAACTTAATGAAAATTTTTTAGTGTTTTTCTTCTAGTCAGAAACTTCTAGTGATTTTCATAAGTGGTATTAATTGAAAGACTGCTTACATCACTAGAGTCTCCTTTTAATTGAACATCTGCCTCCAGCCTTCAAAAGAGTCTGTGGGGGAATATATGACCCATATTTTTGATTTTTTCTTATTTTCTCAAAAACTATACCTCTCACATCTAAATTTTGGTTTTAATGAATGAAACGGTTTTGAAAAACTCTCTGCACAAGCTGCTACGCCCAAATTTGTTTACGCATAAAGTTATGGCCCTCGCAACATTCAAATTTGTTATGTTTGACCGTTTTGTGAATCTTTTCTCGGGGAGTAACCTCTTAAATCTGATATTGTTGATTCAATAGATCAATAGAGATAACAAGTATTGGGAGGCTCCCTTGCCTTAGCGGCGACACGCAAATTTTTTTACACACAAAGTTATCGCCCTCAGACAAGTTTTTAATTTTTTGACTTTTTTTATACATTTTTGGAATCTGCTCAAAAAATACTCTGCCATATCTGAGATTTTGGGCTCCATTCAAGGAACGTTTTCCGAGAAGCTCGTTTGCTTATGTGACTCCGTCTAAACTTTTTGTCATCAAAAGCTATGGCCCTCGGAAAAGTCAAAGATTTGATTTTTGGCAGTTTTTTGGGAACTACCCTCACAAAAATGAGATTTTGGAAACAATCGAAATTTTAGGTTGCTTGAATTCTTTCTGAATAAGAGGCTACACCCTTTTTTACACAGAAAGCGATGATTCTCGGAAACATCAAGTTTTTGATTTGTTGACCGTTTTTTGAACTTTTTTCGCTAACTATTTTGCCAAATTTGATATTTTAAGTTTAATCGCAACAACAGGTTGTTATAAGCCTACATTTATAATGAGTTATGCCCAGTCTGCTGAAAAAAAGTTATAGTCTTCAAACAAGTCAAACTTTTGAGTCTTTGACTTTTTGTTGGAAAATTCACGCGAGAACTACCCTGCCATTTCTCAGGTTTTGTCCAATCGAGAAACCCGGTTTTTGGAAATTTTTTTGCTTAATTGCCAGAACCTGCTTTTTGCAGAAAAAAACTAAACTTTGGAAATTGTTTTGACCGTTTTATAGAAATTTTGACCGTTTTCTAGAGATTTTTTGTTTTCTAGAGGTTTAATTCATCAAGTCTGAGATCAAAAGAACCGGTTGCAATAAATATCCCTGCGGAAGCGGCGACTCCTTTTTTTTTCGTTATGAGAAATGTTATCTTTCCGTGAAATTTCATTATATCAAAATTTGTTTACTCTTCTCACTTATTTTTGTAAACAAACAACTAAGGTCCAATTTTTGAAAGCGGATTATTGATGCCGCATTCACTTAGCAAATCAATTAATATCAAACAGTTGCCTCCTACTTGAACTGAGATTCTTTTTGTTTCTATCAAGACATACGAAAGTTTTGGTTTACTTAGTTTTTTTTCAGCTTTCAAATCTTTTTTTTTCGACATATGTTTTCTTATAATTGTTTTGAATTACAAGTGGTTTGAAGCTCCGCTTCACCTCTGTGTTAAAGAGAGTTATTGAAAGAAAGCAATGAGGCGATATAGCGCATTTATGCAGGAATTTGACTCGTAATTTAGAGATCGATTGTTGTTGTGGTAGGAAACCAGAAATCGGCTGATTTGTTTTGAAACCTAATTTTTCCGACTTTTTTGAAACTTATTGTCTACAATGCCCCAAAGTTTGTTCAGGCTCGAAGTTATTTTTGCGGTTTGAATTCTAACTTCATTTAAATTCACTTCATTCCCCTTGTTAAAAGGAAGGCAAACTCCACTATCGAATAGCAAAGTTTAAAGGTCACGAAAAACATGATTGACTTCTAATTTCGAAAATGAATTTCATTATCAGGTTTCCCAGCAGAAATATACTTTAACCTAGTGATCCATTTTTCATAAATTGTTTTTTTTTTCAAAACTGCGTCAATCACAAATTGTTCTGGATTTTCAAATAATTTTAAGGAGATTTACTTTTTGCTCTTGTAATTGTAAGTTGAGAATTTTTTAAAAATGAAGTCAGTGTTTTTTTGTTTACTTGCGTTCATTGACAATTATAGCGTGTGGTTTGTATCGTGCTATTATTGCGTAAGCGGAGATTTCAACTGTCTTAAAAATTCTTCCATATCAATTTGAGTTATGCTTTTTGGTCTATTTAAAGATTTGCTTTATGCGAAATGTATCATTTTGTACTTCGCATGGCTTGAGGGGGGTGGTTTTTTTTTTGAAAAATTTGTGAATTTTCAAGGCAAACACTATTCCAAATACCTCCAAATGCAGCCGGAACATTCAGGGTTTCGCCCTGATACGAGCAGATTTGTTGCATTTTAAAGCTCTTTTTGTTGCTTGTTTTAGTGAAGCGTTCTGTTCAACTTTTAGCTTCATAGCTGTCTTCAAATTTTTTCAGCTTTTCTAAGTCTGAATTTTTTCTTAGTCTAAAGATTCATTTCAATCAGCTATAAAAAGTTTCAATAAAATCTACCACGTTATCTATTCAACCCAAAGGTTCCTGACTTAGTTTTTGCCCGCGTATTGTTATTTTTACTATTTTTCTTCGTTTGATCTTCAGTATGCTTTGCATGCAAACTCGACACTGAAATGATTTAAAGTACTTTACAAAGTAAGTTTATTGGGTTGTAGGTTATTGTCAGCTGAGGATTGCTTATTTGACTTTTCCTCAATTATCAAATAGAACTTCATGTGTAATTTTTTCAGAAACAACAGTAAATACAAGCAAGCAATTATTCATATTCAACTTTTTCATACTACTCACGTGCTGTCAAGCTCAACCTCCGGCAAACCTGACATAGAGGTAAAAAGTACGTAATAACTAGTTACTCTAGCGTAGTTTCACGGGGACTTTTTCGACTAAACTGGTGTCTGCTCAAAAATTGTCGGCCTTGGTTCCGCTTTGTAATTTTGTTCAATTACTAATTTGAATTTTAAATGTCTTGCATGTTTGCCTAGAATTCCTGATTGATGAAAACAGGTAATATGAAAGTGTATGGGATTGGGTTTTGTTATACCACTTTTTGCAAAAAAAAAGGCTTTTTCTCAAAAATGTTCCGGGCGATTTTCAAAAAAGGGTATCCATAGAAAAACCACGTGCATAATTGCCTGTATACTCCGCTGCTGGTCTCTTTTTGCTTCACAACCTAATATACAACCTTAGAAATCTGTGGGGGGAATATTTGACCAATACTTTTGATTTTTGATTTTTTGTTTTCTCAAAAACTAACCGACCGAATCTGAAGTTTTGTTTTTAAGGAATAGAACGGTTGTGAAAAGCTTTCTTCCATTAACGGCTACGTCCAACCTTTTGTAGGCATAAAGTTATGTCCCTTGTAATAATAAATTTTTTGATTTTTTGACTGTTTTTTGAATCTTTTTAATTTACTTATCTCCTAAAGCTGAGGTTGTCAGTTTTATTGAGATAAAGGGTAGTGGGAAGCTCTCCTGCATTAGCTGCCACTCACAATTTTTTTTACAAAAAAAACTTATTTTCCTTGAAAATAAGCTAATTTTTTGAACTTTAAGAAAAATTTAATTTTTTGAATTTTCTTAAAAACTACCCTATCAAAATCTAAGAAAAAATTCAATCGAAAGAAGCAGTTGCGCAATTTTTTCCTGCAAAATTGGTTACTCCTTTGAGAGAGAAAAGTTATGTCTTTGCGAAAATTCCAAAATCTCAAAAGCTTCACTCTACTCACTTATTTTAGTAGAGAAACAACTAAGGTTTTGGGCTAAGTCCAATTTTTGAAATTACGCATGTCCAGCATCAGTATAAAAAATTCAAAAAGTGTCTAAGACGTAGCCCCAGCTTTAGCTGGGCCCTAGGTGTCCTTCATAGACTCATAAGAAAATTTTGGTTCACCTATTTTTAAAAAATATTTTTCATGTTTTTTTTTGGTTTTACGATGTCATGATTGCGTAGTATCACAAGTGGTGCGAGGCTCCGCTTCAAGTCTGTGTTAACAATCCGACAGCATCTACAAGAAGACGAATTATTACCTAAGTGTGCCAACTAAAGTTCAAGGTCTCCCTAGTAAACTTAGTCAGAAAAAATGGGAGTTGAGGCAGTTGGCCCCGCACATGTACAAATTGCAGAGCAAGCCATACTCGGACAATCCTTCAGAAACAAAAAACAGTTTTAATAAATAGTTTTGATGTGTCGCCAAAGATGGGTGGTATGTTTAGACAGAAAAATGAAAACTGGATCTAGTTATGTAGTTTTTGACTGGAAAAGAATTTTCTAACAGATAAATGAATGTATGTAGAAAAACTTTTCGTCTGCTATCCAAGAAATCACAATATGTCTGATAGTTATTTCGAAACGAGGCATGATAAAAATTTGCTGGAAAAAAATTGTCAGCATACACAAGCTAGTAAAAGCACTGGTTTGACCATAAATCCGAAAATCATTTTGTTTAAGGTGAGCAAAAAAAGATCGAATCCAGAATGAATCAACGTTGGTTTGACAATTTTTGCGCATCCAGAATGAACGTTGTTTTGACGATTTTTACTTTTTGTATTAATATTGGGGCATAAAGTTCCGGGGCTCAAGAGCCAAAAATCTATGTAATAGACAATGCGGACTCCCATAATTTAAACAAAAACTAAACCACTTAGCGTTAAAGTAAGCCTTTCTGAATAGTAAGGGAAGAGCTTTTCTTCATCTAATCTCGTTTAAAATTTTCTGTCATATGAAGCAGTTCAGATCGGTCAAATTATCCAATTTTCGAGTGGTTTTTAAACTGTTTAGTTGCTAAGAAACCAGTTTTGTTTGTGAGGGGGGGATTTTAAAAAGATTTAGATATAAAAATTAGTAATTAATCTTCGTCATCGGGTTTTCTGTCGTCAGAAAACTTTACAATTCTTCTTCAAACTGATTTGACCTCTATGTTTGCGCTGTACATTTTTGTGTTTTGGACTGATCAAATCTGCAACCAAAAAACTAGAGCTGAGTTCTTTCAGACAAATAAAAAATATTCTCGAATACCGAAAGTTTTATTTAATTTTTGGTAATGATATGGTAATGATTGACAATATGAACCAATCCAACAATTGTGATTGAAAATTTGGAGTCTGATGTTGCTTTTCCAGCCTTCGCCTGATTGTAATTTTTGTCCCGGATGGTTTTGCTTCCAGATGCTACTCTTGGACCAAGTGGCAAACGGGAGTTTGAATGGCGCTCGTG